AAGCTGTGTTTGATACTGAATGATCACTCAAGCCAAATACACTACGGTGTGACTGTATGAATAATGTGCCATCTGAGACATGTACACATGGCTATAGCAGTTGTACTTTAACTGTCAGTTGCCAACTGACTGGGGGCCTTTTTGGCTAAAGAATCTCTGAGTAGACTAGCATTGCAGTGTCACAGAAGTTCTTGCTGTTAGGACAGGAATGATCAAAATGTGCTGCCAGTTTTATGCATGACTGTAAGCACAATATCAAGTTCAGCAAAACATACGTCTGTCTGCAGCATGTGTGTGCAAAACATCTATTTACTCCTCCAGGTTTTAGTGATTTGATGTATAGTGTTACATTTTTCAAGGAGTGCATTTTGCTCTGGTCCAACAAATTACTGTGTTAAATATTATTATGATACAGTATTTTAAAAAGTGTTATATACTGAGTATACATGTGCTAAAGAAGTCCAGCATGACATTGATGTCACATTAAAATCATATTTTAGAATCAAGGATTATATAAATCTGGGTCAAGATTGATCCAAGGAGGAGATGCACCTTGGGTGAGGCAAGTACCTGCAAACAAGCCATAGTTTAGGTGAGTTTAGGTATCTGCAAACAAGCAGTAGCTTGGGTGAGGCAAGTACCTGCAAACAAGCTGTAGCTTGGGTGAGGCAAGTACCTGCAAACAAGCTGTAGCTTGGATGAGGCAAGTACCTGCAAACAAGCAGTAGCTTGGGTTAGGCAAGTACCTGCAAACAAGCTGTAGCTTGGATGAGGCAAGTACCTGCAAACAAGCAGTAGCTTGGGTGAGGCAAGTACCTGCAAACAAGCTGTAGCTTGGATGAGGCAAGTACCTGCAAACAAGCTGTAGCTTGGGTGAGGCAAGTACCTGCAAACAAGCTGTAGCTTGGATGAGGCAAGTACCTGCAAACAAGCTGTAGCTTGGATGAGGCAAGTACCTGCAAACAAGCTGTAGCTTGGATGAGGCAAGTACCTGCAAACAAGCTGTAGCTTGGATGAGGCAAGTACCTGCAGACAAGCTGTAGCTTGGGTGAGGCAAGTACCTGCAGACAAGCCGTAGCTTGGGTGAGGCAAGTACCTGCAAACAAGCAGTAGCTTGGATGAGGCAAGTACCTGCAAACAAGCAGTAGCTTGGGTGAGGCAAGTACCTGCAAACAAGCCGTAGCACTTGGGTGAGGCAAGTACCTGCAAACTAGCTGTAGCTTGGAAAGTGCCCACAAACAGCTGTAGCACCAACAAAGAAGCTGTAGCTTGGGTGTGGCAAGTACCTGCAAACAAGCTGCACCTAGGAAAGTGCCCACAAACAGCTGTAGCACTAACAAAGAAGCTGTAGCTTGGGTGAGGCAAGTACCTGCAAACAAGCTGTAGCTTGGAAAGTGCCCACAAACAGCTGTAGCACCAACAAAGAAGCTGTAGCTTGGGTGAGGCAAGTACCTGCAAACAAGCTGTAGCTTGGAAAGTGCCCACAAACAGCTGTAGCACCAACAAAGCATTTGCAGCTCAGGTAGTTGCAAGTACCCAGGTCCACTGGTCGGAGGAAAGTTGATTTATTTCCTTCATCGACTGATGGCTGAGCTTGTGTTTGACGCCGCATGAGCACTACAGTTGCACCATGGAAGATCTTGGAGCAAGTAACATCCTCTGAACACAATGCCATTCTTCATGGATGACAATGCTAGACCACATTGTGCATGTGCCGTCAGTGATTTCTTACGTCAAGAGACAGTAGCAACTCTATCTTTAAACCCACAGGAGTCTAATACAGTCAATGAGGAAGAGGGTCAGTGATGTTTTAGCGGTTGTCCGTGGTAACACCAGATATTGACACTGCTCGGTTATCGATACTTCTATGGTATTTTTAGGATAGTTTTTCATTCTTTTTAACTTTTGCCATTCAATTAATCCCTTGAGAGTCAGTATATCCATATAATAAGTTAAATTGAAATTTGGGTAAATTCCTTTACTATGGAAACTATGGGGTATTGTGATACTTTTGTCCTTGTGTATATATACAAGTCAGTCATACCATGGGTGAGGCAAGTACCCACAAAACACCAGCAGTTGCACCTAGGGTGGCAAAGCTGAGATGCCTTGGGCTGCAGCATACTGCAGATCTGATTATGATAAGTTGTGGTATCTATAGCAGCTGTTGTGCCCCAATAACCAGGTGGCAAGCCAGCTACAGAAGGAAGGGAGGCCATCGACTCTAGAAATCTGCATGTTGGTGCCGCTGTCGCAGAGCATTCGCTATTGTCTTGTGACTGATGGACGATGTTTGAATTTCCAATATCCTTGGCTTGCATTATGCAGGTACCTTGAGGATACATTTATGACTGGTTTGCAGACAGAATTTCTTACATGGTCGTTGGAGTCATTCCCCGGGGATGAAAAAACAGCACTATCAATTATTTTTCGACTTGGTGGAAAGCCAGCGAATTGATTTTGTCTCCTGGATGTCACTTCACTTTGACAGTATTCCGTGCAACTTGTAAATAGAAAAGACATCAAGAAATTTAAACCCTGTGAGATGAGGAGAGGAGAAAAATAGCCATGCAGCTGACAGTTGAAGATCCTTTTTACATAGATGAGAAACTAGTCAAGTACATGATTAATTAGATTGAACTTAACTTTCCAGCCATTCATTATGTCAAATACCAATCGTATTACATGTGCCCATAGCCTGAGGATAAGGGAGCATCAACTTATATGGATTGGATGCTTACTTCATTTATCTCCAGATATAGATATCTGAAATTTAAAGGTCACATGCAACGTAAAACACAACTTTGCAGATTCTGATACCTTTCGGTATGGACTTACCGAAACAAATCGTCAAAAATGCAAATTCAACTTATAAAGTTAAAAAATAACGCGATGAAAAAAACGCGCGAAATCGGAGTTCAAACGTTTCACTAATTTTCCCCCGACTTTTCTGGGGAAAACAGGTTTCAACAGCTGGGCTCCGCTCATAGCACGTGCGCAGTGAAATAGGTTCGCGCAGCTTGGAAGCCGGGTTGTCGGGTGAATACCGGTGAAGGTTTGGTGTGAGCTATTTTCTAATGTTTTGTTGATATCTCACAGGCGCGAGCTTTTCATATGTTATGACAGTAAATTAACTGTTTATATAATTTCATTTGTCTATTTCACCACACGTTCTTCTTACCGAGTCACTTTCGCAGTTCTATACTTAAAAGCAATGTAATTATTTAGCGTTGACAGAATTTCTAACTGTGATATAGATATGTCGTTGTCACAGACAAAACTCAATGTCTTGTTTTATTGACACCTGTGTGTCTGCCTGCCTGTCTGCTAATGACAATATTCAATACACAGCTGCTATCACTGACCACATGCAATTTGAACTTAACACCAATCAGGCTATACACCATAAACAAAATGCATTGATTTATGGCCCGAGTTCGGTCTCTGTCACATTATGTAATTACACAGACAGGCAGGTGTGATACTTGAACACATGACATGTTATGATGTCTGTTGATTGCAAAATGTTATACACAAAAAATGAGCATGTATTTACAAAACCCAACATCTCTATATATACACACACAATGAGCCGTGAAGGCATCTGTAAATGAACCAGCCGTTACACTTGAGTGCACACCCACCCGCTCTGACTGGGTTCGGTATCCCGGCTGCTTCGTTTCGAGGGAAGTAAACCGAAGTACACAATTTTGCACTTTTGATTTGCGATTGTACGCTTATAATTTTGTTTATATGTTTTTTCATTACCAGCAATGTATATTATATGTCATGAATAAGTGATAATTGTGTTTTAATTATGTTTGATTTTTTGGTTGCATGTGACCTTTAAGTGATGAATATTTTCTTGATGAATATGTACAGGATAATGGCCTGCATCTTATATTGGCAAATATTAATGGATACCTTTGCTATTGTAGGCCTCATGAACCTCTGTTAATTTGCAATATGTGTGCCAGAGTGAAGATGTATTTTGCATTTCCTACTATATATTCGAATAATAATCATTCAATTTCTGTTGTCCATCAACCAAGTTCATGCTTTACTAGCACCTTTTTCAGTTGTTTTTGAATGAAAATATCATTAAAGAATAAGAGTGTCATAGCATTTTTATGTAAGAAAATTTAATATCTGTTTTGTGTGCAGATTGTTTTGACGTGATTGTGTTATGTGCATATTGTTTTGTTGCAGATTCTTACACTATTTCATTAGAACACTACTGTACATATCAGTTCAAGTTGTGAAGTGATGAAACATTATTTCAGCAGAAGTTCATCACCAGTGATGAAAAGGTCTGGTGAAGAACTTACATGTCAAAAGGAGAAGTTTGAGAACTAATGTTCTAGTTATCACTTGTTATTCATGACAGTACAGGATCAGAGTTGTACCAGCAAATTAAGAGAATGCACTGATAAAAACCTGAAAATATTTAATATTTGATATGTTAGTTTGTGTTATCTGATGAGAGTAGGTCTCACGGGTAATTGTGTCATGATGAGTTGCGTGAGACTCATTATTACTGTCCCAGAATGCAATACAATGATGCAAAGCAACACTTTTTTTTTAGCATCAGTATGAGACATTTAGTCTGACAGTTTCAATCCTCTTGGTTGTAGGATTTTGGAAATTACACTTTTCATTACACTATTCAGTCTGTGTCTGTGATATTAAACAGAAAGACAGTGTCAGCCATAGTGTTGACATATATCTCTCCTAGATTTCTCATAGGAGACCTAAAATTACAAATGCTTTCAAGCCTCAGCAGAATATTCATACATTATGAAGCCAGCCAGCACTGTAGTCTATTGTATGAAACTGTATGTATCTAGGTTATAAGATAGGGTTTGCTGGTCGCTTGTTAATTGGGAATGTCAATATTCTGGTGGTAGTCTCGCTTCACCGGTATCCATTGTTTGTATGGGGATGTAGCAGGCCCAATTCAGGAGACATGGAAAATATGATGCATGGTCTTTCAGAGGTAATCATGTAGGGGCACAAAGAACAGTCCATGTAGGGTACAAACAGACCATGTAGGTGCAGATAGAGGGGATCATGTAGGTGCTGATAGAGGAGACCATGTAGGTGCAGATAGCAGGGACCATGTAGGTGCTGATAGAGGAGACCATGTAGGTGTAGATAGCGGGGACCATGTAGGTGCAGATAGAGGAGACCATGTAGGTGCAGATAGAGGGGATCATGTAGGTGCCGATAGAAGAGACCATGTAGGTGCAGATACAGGGGACCATGTAGGGTACACAGACCATGTAGGTGCAGATAGCGGGGACAATGTAGGTGCAGATACAGGGGACCATGTAGGGTACACAGACCATGTAGGGTACACAGACCATGTAGGTGCTGATAGAGGAGACCATGTAGGTGCAGATAGAGGAGACCATGTAGGTGCTGATAGAAGAGACTATGTTGATGCTGATAGAGGAGACCATGTAGGTGCAGATAGAGGAGACCATGTAGGTGCAGATAGAGGAGACCATGTTGATGCTGATAGAGGAGACCATGTAGATGCTGATAGAGGAGACCATGTAGGTGCTGATAGAGGAGACCATGTAGGTGCAGATAGAGGGGACAATGCAGGTGCTGATAGAGGGGACCATGTTGGTGCAGATAGAAGGGACCATGTATTTGCAAAAAGAGGAGACCAGATAGCGGGGACCGCAGATAGCGGGGACCATGTAGAGACAGATAGAGGGGTACACAGACCATGTAGGGTACACAGAGACCATGTAGGGTACACAGAGACCATGTAGGGTACACAGACCATGTGGGGTACACAGAGACCATGTAGGGTACACAGAGACCATGTGGGGTACACAGAGACCATGTAGGGTTCACAGACCATGTTGGGTACACAGACCATGTGGGGTACACAGAGACCATGTAGGGTACACGGAGACCATGTAGGGTACACAGACCATGTAGAGTACACAGAGACCATGAGGGGTACACAGAAACCATGTGGGGTACACAGAGACCATGTGGGGTACACAGATACCATGTAGGGTACACAGAAACCATGTAGGGTACACAGAAACCATGTAGGGTACACAGACCATGTAGGGTACACCGAAACCATGTAGGGTACACAGAAACCATGTAGGGTACACAGAGACCATGTGGGGTACACAGACCATGTGGGGTACACAGACCATGTAGGGTACACAGAGACCATGTAGGGTACACAGACCATGTAGGGTAAACAGACCATGTAGGGTACACAGAGACCATGTAGGGTACACAGACCATGTAGGGTACACAGAGACCATGTAGGGTACACAGACCATGTAGGGTACACAGAGACCATGTAGGGTACACAGAGACCATGTAGGGTACACAGAAACCATGTGGGGTACACAGAAACCATGTGGGGTACACAGAGACCATGTGGAGGTTACACAGAGACCAGAGACCATGTAGGGTACACAGAAACCATGTAGGGTACACCGAAACCATGTGGGGTACACACAGACCATGTAGGGTACACAGAGACCATGTGGGGTACACAGAAACCATGTAGGGTACACAGAAACCATGTAGGGTACACAGAAACCATGTAGGGTACACACAGACCATGTAGGGTACACAGAGACCATGTGGAGTACACAGAAACCATGTAGGGTACACAGAGACCATGTGGGGTACACAGAAACCATGTGGGGTACACAGACCATGTGAGGGTACACAGACCATGTAGGGTACACAGAGACCATGTAGGGTACACAGAAACCATGTAGGGTACACAGACCATGTAGGGTACACAGAGACTATGTAGGTGCAGAGAGAGAGGGGACCATGTAGGGCAGATAAAAGGGAACATGTGTAGTCAGGTGACTATTCATGTTGTGTCATCATGTTGTGTCATGTTGAGTCAGACGACTGTTTATGTTGTGTTTTACAGAGTCCTATGATGGGGTTATGCATAGAACAAATAATTTAGTGTTTGGTGTCCAATTTGCAGATCTGTTACGTACCTGATTTATTTCGATTGGTTATGTGTGTCTCAAATGGATAAATACTGACAGACTCGAATTCATTGAAATTCAGTGAGCATTTAAAGAGCACGAGTTCTCATAATACTCCATGTTCCGAATGTCCTGAGAGAGTTCATTACTGTAGAGTGTTGTGTTGTAATTATGCAGATAGCAGCAAGTATTTGAAAGGTTTTTCCCATAAGCCAGAATAATTGATTTATTGTTATGTAAGTCAATAACATGGGTGAAATTCACAGGGGAAAATTTGAAAACATTTTCAGTTTAAATGTCTATAACAGTTATCGTAGCAAACAATTGACAAAATTTAGTAGCGTCTGATTTGTAATTTCCACTGAACTAGATATATGATCAGTTTGAACAGAGACAACAAATTTGCTACCCTGAAGATGATTCTTCCATTCATCCTATATGTAGCTCAAGTAGGTCAGTATTCAGGCTGAAGCATCTAAGTATAGCCAGTGGCCTAGATGATCAGCCACACAGAAACATGTTACCTGTACTAATAACTGGCAATCAAAGCTTCTCGCACGTTGTGAGTAGTTGGCAAACCAACCAGCAGGTCATTTAATACATAGGTCTGTGGAGCTATTTCAAATTGGTTAACAATCCGTATCCCACCAGCATTAGGCTTGTACTGATCTCCCTTTAATGGGCTTTGGTTGTTCGCTACACACCTAGCGGGCTCTTGTGTCACTGCTACAGCCGCTACAAACAGATTGCAACAGATAAAGGAAGTACGTTTTGGCGGGAGTGAGCTCACAAAGCACTCTGGGATAGCTTCTTAGTGATAAAGAATTGAACAGAAGCACATGTTTAGGGAATGGACAGTAGACGCTATGAATTGGAACGAAAGAAGGGTGAGTAAATTTGTAGAATACGTGACTTGAAATCAGCATGTTGAGGTGACATGGCCTGCTGTCAAGGAGAACAGTCTCGAACCAGTGTTTACTGAAGACTGTGTTTTCCAGCTTTGCTGGCTGATAAAACTCGGGGCTAGCTTGTCACATGTACTGTGTTGCGTGGCCTGGCCCTTTAGCCAGATTGTTCATGTATGTGCACCGGTACGTGGTGGCGTGCATGTATGTCATTACAGTTGGGCCAGGTAAAGGGAGACACACAGGTATCCCACCTCACTCATCGGGTCACAGCTCAGATGGTAGTGGAATTTGACATGCTGGACATTTGACAGTACATTTTTGTGATCATTTGCCTGTTTGTATTTACTGGTTTGACTGATACATGATACAGGTTAGGAATATGTGTATGTAGATTTTCACAATTTTTAAACTGCAGTGACTTTCCTTCTGTTTTACTGGTGTATGGTGGACTGTCGGTCAGGTTGTACTTCCTGGTGTGGGGACATGGGTCACAGTAGATTGCTGTGTGTCTCTGGTGAAACCAGGACACACAGTTGGGCACAGTATAGAATGACTTAGGATTTAGGTTCACGAGTTCACAGTGTTTGAGGATTATGCATGGCTGCTCAAGTGAATATGTTAAATTGTTCCATTATGTACAGCCCTGTTGGCCAGTCTGAAACATTACTGAAAGAGATACCTGCATGAAGATGCATGATAGAAATTCAGTGTTTCTGAAGTGAATGTAGAATATATAAGAATGTATGTGTATGAAACATATCATATAATAGGTACAGATTGGAGGCAGTACAAATGTCACTTGGCTCTTTGAGGAATAGTGTATATTTTCCTGTATTCTTAAAGTAGCAGATGGCATGTAATATGTTGTATGTTTGTACCAGAGGGATGTCTTCTATAGCATTAACTATATTGGTTAGCTTGTCATGTTCTAGTTGGTGTATCAGGCAGCAATAAAAGTTCTGAAATCTTAATTTAAAGTGATCACTATGCTAGTGTATGTCCACCTTTTTCACATGGGAGTGTGTTGATGTTGACCATTGTTCAAATACTCCAAACCTTGACAATGAGAGCTGGCGCACAAACAGTTTGCCAGGAGGGAGAGAGTGAGGTCACGTGATGTAGGCTTGTCTGGTCGGCTTGACATTTGTGCACAGATCAGCTTAGCATTCACCTCAGACCAACTGTACATTATCATACTGTCTCATAGTGTCTTAGTGTTTCTTGACTACATGCATATATTGGTAGGAGGAATATTTCTGTGCCTCTTGACATATATTGGGTGGTTGAAGCTTGGTTTTCCTGTATTTGTGTTCTACTGTATCAATCAGTAAATGGTGTAAGAAATAATGCTGGTTTCACACTCTGTCAATCAGGTATTTTAATTTTGTGCACTTTCTTATCGTCGGACAATAATTTTACCTTATGTACATTCATTCTCTTAACATTCATGCAAAGATTAATTTCTAATGACATTATACAAGTACTTGTTGTTGGATGTGTGTGATTTGAGACATCAATGCCAGTCTAGAGCAGGGTGTTTTGTTGTGCTGGCATTCCTCATTCACTGGGTGGGGAGGAAAAACACATCTTACCATGTGTGGCGGAATTCACAGGCAGTTAGTCAGGCCTCCCATCAATGCAGACAACAGATGACACATTGGATCTGGCCAGTACGTGCCGAAGGTACATGGGTCCAGGCATGGTCCCCAGCATTGACATGCCAAATGTACATGGGTCCAGGCATGGTCCCCAGCATTGACATGCCACAGGTACATGGGTCCAGGCATGGTCCCCAGCATTGACATGCCCAAGGTACATGGGTCCAGGCATGGTCCCTTGCAGTTATGTGACCAAGGTGCATGGGTCCAGGTATGGTCCACAGCATTGACATGCCCAAGGTACATGGGTCCAGGCATGGTCCCTTGCAGTTATGTGACCAAGGTACATGGGTCCAGTCATGGTCCCCAGCATTGACATGCCCAAGGTACATGGGTCCAGGCATGGTCCCTTGCAGTTATGTGACCAAGGTACATGGATCCAGGCATGGTCCCCAGCATTGACATGCCCAAGGTACATGGATCCAGGCATGGTCCCAAGCGGTGACATGCCCAAGGTGCATGGATCCAGGCATGGTCCCAAGCGGTGACATGCCCAAGGTGCATAGGTCCAGGCATGGTCCCCAGCATACTGTCTGTATGAATTATGTAGAGCTATTATCATGTTCAAATTACGATTTAATATTCAAATGTTCTTTTGTGCCTTCAACTTAGAGAAAATGTGTCAATATACTGTCATATTGTGCATGTCCTATGGTCTAAAGCTGACCCTGGCACAGCACTGCCCACCAATCACAGGGAGGCAGAGCTGTGGTAGCTGGCAATTATCTCCCTGCTCCTCCTTCTCCTCCCCAGGGATAGGCAGCATTGTTCTCCATTTGTCTGTGCCACTGACCTAGATTAGGGCCACAGCTGTTTCATCTTTGGGTGTGCCAGGTCATGGCCTGACAGCCTCTGGGTCAGCTAGGGTCACTGGTCAGACAGGAGAACAAGAAATACACACCCTGTGGCTACTGTGTATGTGTGTGTTACTGTGTGTATTTTCACCACATGGGTCTCATCACACCTCCACTTTCATAGTCCCTGTCTCTTGTTTTCAGTCTGAAATGCCATTGATTTACATGAAATATAATTAGTGTAAATAATTAGTTTAATGTTGGTGTTATTAGATCAAAGGATTTCTATGTGTTATATAGCAGGCTTGATGAAGCTGATTTGGCCGTCATGTGACAGATGCCAGGAGATGCGTTGAAAGACAGAAACCTGACTTCTTCACTTTTAGCGTTTAAAATGTCTGTTGTGTGTCAGGATTTAAGAGGAATAGGATGAGCATCACATGCAGTTATGTCACATATTCAAATAGATTTCTTAATCTAATTAAATGCCGAGTGTCACACGGCATAGACGGCATCACAAATCATGCAAATTGAAAACTTCCTGAAGAACATGTGTTGTTTCTCAAAGATGTTCAGCACTCTTGCCTTCATATGAATCATATGAGAAGTCGTCAACTTGGAAATGACACTTTTAAATATGATGTGACATGGTGATATGGCCGGTATGAGTGGTGCGGGGGTTTCTTGTGTGGGTGATGAGCTGGAGGCTGTCAGGACTAGTCTAGCTGGCTCTAAGTGGAGAGCTGATTCTCAAGTGGGAAGATGGAGAAGGAATGTTAATGGCTTTTAGAAATGACGAAAATCCTTGTAATCAGTTACTGCAGCTGGCCAAGAGATGTTGTGTGGATAGACAGGGAGGTTGTTCCTGTAGTCCAGCTGGCCAAGAGATGTTGTGTGGATAGACAGGGAGGTTGTTCCTGTAGTCCAGCTGGCCAAGAGATGTTGTGTGGATAGACAGGGAGGTTGTTCCTGTAGTCCAGCTGGCCAAGAGATGTTGTGTGGATAGACAGGGAGGTTGTTCCTGTAGTCCAGCAGGAGTGGGTGCAGCTGGCTCCCAATTGTCACATGTCACTCAATTCTTCCATGTCTGGCAGCCCGCTCTGTGCATGTAATGATATCTATATCATATGTACCAGAAAATAACATTCATGTACACTATGTCTTTTAGAGATTTTGCCACAAAAATACATTCCTATAGCAAATGACAAACAGTTCTATATCCTTTTCACAGATATTTTGGGCTGGAGCTCTACATGTTGTGTGTTTGTCAATTTCAAACTACAGATTTGTCAGTATGTAAACCTTGAGCCCCACTCCTTCCTGGTGATAATAGATATTACATCCTGAAACTAGGATCAGGTTCTTGTCAGTTATGTTTTATCAACTGTTGTGAAACAAGGAAGCTGATACATTGGCTGGTGTGGACAGGACGATATTGGACTGACATTCTGTGTCTTTATTAGGTAGTACTGTTTGGACAGGAAGTTTGTTTTATTCATTATGATTTTCCAAACATTGTAAAACAGTGTAAGGTGAAAAGATCAAGCAACTATTATTAAGTTTGTCTTGTTTGAATGTATTTTTAAGGTGCCTGTTGTGTGTTTCAGATACTTGATACTGGAGAAAGCTAACACCCTCCTCCCCTAGTGCGAGACAGCAACAGTCAAGTGTCCTACAGAGTGCTATATTCACTGACAGATCAAGGCAAAGTGGCTTCTACACCAGGACTCTACTATCCTCATATGACCTCTACCATCTGTGTCCTACTAGCTACACATTTAGTTGGTCTCTTATGGTGACTCTTGTTTGAGTACTTAGTGTTTAAACCCATTGTCTTTCATATCTTGCCCAGCGAGTAACTCTTGGTATGGCCATGGTGAATCCTATGCTGAATCTAGCCATTCCTAACCCCAATGTTAAGGACTCAAGATGGCTTACACTGGAAGTTTGCCGTGAGTTCCAACGGAACAAATGCACACGCACGGAGAATGAATGCAAATTTGCTCATCCACCTCCACATGTGGAAGTACAGAATGGGCGGGTGATAGCCTGCTTTGATTCCATAAAGGTAAGTTCAGTGTTGTGTGAGGTGTTGAATGTTCACACAAACTTCTTGTCACTTTTGTTAAGCAAGCTTGACTACAACCAACATTAGTAGTAATGGCCTACTGTAATCAATTCTGTTATAATTACCAAAATATTATAAATACTGGAACATTGTAATTATAAATGAGTAGTATGTCATAATATCTATTTGCTATTGATGTTGCTTTTTCTTACAACTAGAGTACATTTTATGGAAACCTTGGTCAGTGTGTTAGTAGTAGAACACAAGTGTTGAGTTTCAGTCTTTCTGAAGTCTCTCAAAGTGTTTTTTTATACCTACAGTAGACATCAAATCCTGTCATAAAATTGGTTTACCTTGTATTGATGAGCTCCACTTCCCATGCTATTGTGGTACGGTATGGCTGACACTTGTGTATGTCTGTGCTGGACAGTGTTGTGCCTCTTGTCCCAACTGTTGTACAGTGTTGTTCATATTGTCTGGATATATATCACCAGTGGGGTGTGCATGCATTCAACTACAGACTGTGGCATTGCCCACTTTCAGAATGTTTGGATCTCAGATATTGTTCAGATATGCTGGATTCCCAGTGTTGATAGACTAACAACTAGTCTCTGAAATGAACATATTTTACTGAAAAAAGTTCATAGTAAAAGAAAATATATATAATGAAAAGGAGCCCTGAGACTTTCTTCATTTCCTGAAGCTGAGGAAATCTAGACTTGCCACATTTTCTAGACTTGTGTGGGCTTTCTTGGATATATTTGCTTCAGGGTCTGTACGAGAGACTACAGTGTTGAGTGTTTCCTGTGATAGAGAGCCTGATAGTAAATCTTCCATTGTGTTGGTGCCACCCCAATGTGCCCTAGTGATGCCATCTGCATCATACACTGCTTTTGCTTTCAACTATGAAATAACTAAGAGTAGAAATCTTTTATTTGAGTTCAGAATATTGACTGACCAGGAACATTAGGTCTTCAAGAATCAGATTTTTCTCACTCAGGCTTTCAATTTTACCACACCCATGAAGACTTGCCATGAATATTCTACTAGTCTGATTACATTGATTACATGGCGCTTTTTAACATTTCTAATTAAACTAGAAAGCTTGTGATGCAGCATCATGTCCATTGTGAGCTGGAGTACCCAGCTCCTGCATGAGCCTCTCTCACTGCACCTGCTTTTACCAGCTCCTCACACAACTTCTTTCACCAGAAGGGCTTTAAGATGACGATTGAAAAACTGACAAATTGAATGTGGGTTGAGGAGGGTTCTACCAGATATAATTTGCATATATATTGTTGACCACAAAGACAGAAGGTCAGCTGTCAGATTCTGTGACCCAAGACAATTGATTGTTATTCTCTGAGGGAAAGCTTTCATCAATAGAGACGGTGCAGGTCATCTTAGGGCATGTCTAAGATTTCAAATGAATTTCATGACTGGAAATAGTATTTTATTATTGTGGAAGCAATATTTGTCTCACATTGTGCTTGATTTGTAATTCTTTTCATAAATTCATGATATATGATATTTGTGTTGTGATATTGTCATGTTAAAGTGCAAAAAGTCAGGGAAGCTTTCTGTATGTAAGTGGTGAATATGCTATGATTTAGAAATTGTTTTTGACATTGCATTGTGGAGCTGCAAATCCTTTTAATATGACATGTCAGAATGACATCCAAGGTGTCTGGTCCGAACTCAGTATTACAGAGCTGATTGTCCTTGTAAGTTGTATCATGTACATGCTCACAAATGTCCATTTGAACCTTGCATGACTTTCACTCATGTTAAGAAATGTTACTTTGAAGACAGAGACATGCACCTAGTGCTGCAGGTAATTGGCACTATCATATGATATATTTGCCACACTTTGCCTATATGTAAGTGGCAGGGACCCTGAGTCTGGTCATCTATTCATGGATTATGTATTGGCCATATTAGCCATTCAGACAACAATGTAATCCATGAACTGCATCTTGTACCTAAGTATTACATGGACAGTGTTGAAACTATGCAGTTGTGTATGCATCTGTGTAAAATTGGACAAGACAGTACAGCAGTTTTCACATTGGTGCTGGTGGGCTGAACATGCAAGGACAAACATAATGTCCCCTTGAGTCAATATTGGTCCAGGCTATGGGGTCCACAGGCCTGGCACACACATCAACACTCACAGGAAGACACACAGACAACCCAGAGGATTCCGCAGCGGGATAAACACTACTCAAACTTTAATTGGAAAACAGAAATGTTGGAGCTTCAGGTTCCTTTAAACTCACAAGGGAATAATTTTGGATGCATGAGAATATTTCCATTCCAAATGTTGTGGATGTTGGCTTTTGGTGTGATAGAATTAGCTGGGTAGTGAGTAGTGTTCTGTAGTTTCCTAGTAGCAAACAGAAAGACTTATTTTATCTTGGAAATTGTATATTATTTGTTATGTACGAGGTTAGATTATTTCAATTTCTTATTTTGTGTCAAGGATTTGGAGTTTTCCATGAGCAACAGGATACAGGCAGTGACTGGTAGGGTGTTGTAATGACTGCCATGTGTGGACTGGTGATGGCGATGCAGGGAGGGGAGGAGAAGGCACAGATAGGGGGGAGAAGGCACAGATAGGGGGGGACACCTAGGAATTAGTTGAAAATCATGTTAAGTGTCAGATATCTAGGAATTAGTTGAAAATCATGTTAAGTGTCAGATATCACATAAATAGAACAAAACCATACTACCATTTTATTAAGTAAAGCACCTAGTCCTCTCCATCTCAGAGAAACCACATGAAATATACTTGCCAAAATTCCATGCATGGGCTTGGCACTTTCAACATTTGTGAGTGTAACCCACACCACAAGAGCTGTTCCCTGCAGTTGTACAATGGCTGGGTCTTTGGTACAGAGAAATAAATACCTCTGTTCTTTGTGCAATAATACAGGGCTGTATTGACACAGAGCAGTGTGTGGAAAGGTGTTGGTTATCAGTTTCATCTATTCACTGTTCCTGTCAGATGTAGTCGACAGACAGTGTACATCACATCCAGCCAAACTTGCCTTGTTGCTAACTAGACACAGGTTTTGTAGCAAAGGGATATTCAGTCTCTATCTGATCAAGTCTATTTCACATCTAGCATACAACATACAAGATATTTATTGCGCAAATGGACAAATGGTGACAGAATTCTATATACTATATAAACATATGCATAATAATTCAGGATAACCATACATACTTATTCAAATATTTTTTGATGACCTAGGATTATATAAAGATATTTCAGATTGATATCACATCTAGCTACACTGGACATACAACTGCCTAGACCCAACATCTAGCCTGCATCATATCTTATCCATATCTTATCTGATCACACTCAACAGCCAGCCAGTAAGGCACTACCTATGAAGCAAGATATGTAGTCTATCTGCCATCTAGCCACATTGACATAAAGTGTATGAGGCAACCGTCTGTGTTAGTTAGTCTACAACTTACGTAATATATGTCCAGTATTTGCTCTGTAAGCAGTGTCTGGCAGGGCTGGATGGATGGAGGGAGGATGTCTACCGGCGGTGGCCGTGGCGGCATGCACACACTCGTGTGGCCAGCACCAGTAGTACTGCCCCTCCTCTCTCAAACACACTGTTTCAATATTGACCCAGCTTCAGCATGCCATTAGACACTTGTCATGCATCTTAATCTATTTAAATCCGTGTCTGTATTCACACTATAAGCAGCAGTCATTATTTGGTGCTGTATGATGGGGCCTGTAGTAGGAGCTGTTGTAGTCATCATTCCACCTGCCTCTCTGGGCCATGAACCAAGCAGTCATGAATGTGGGGTAACAACTGGAGAACAAAATATCAAAGGAAGGGAGGGTAGAACAGGTCAGTTTTTGACAGGATTGTCCTCCACAAGCAGTCAGACTAGCATTAGGTACCATGCTCCCTTGTACTCCCTGGGCCTCTATCAGTCACCATGGTAGATTATGGTGTTTCCTGGAGTACCTGTCCAAAACATACACACAAGCAAGTGTATGTTCTCAATAGCATTATATTTGATCTACTTTGCTTGGGAAAAGTAATATAACAAGGTTATGTCACTCTGAAATACTTATGGTTCAATGAGGAATATATCATAAAAAAGAGTTCTTAAATTATTTCCCATCTGGATGCTTGATTTTTCACACTTGACATATTTCTTTTCATTCACTGTAACTCAGAAGATGGCCTGTGAGAAAATTTCTGTTTCAAATGGAGGAATACAGACTCTGTATCCAGTATCATGCAAGGATTGTATGCATCACAGATCTGAGGCCTTACTCTTGCATGTCTGATCACATTGGTGATTGGTGACATTGTTCCACTACTTCTATTGTCAAGCTGTTATATATGCAGGCCTATAGTAGCATCAGCCATGGTGTCAAGCTGTTATATATACAGGCCTACAGTAGCATCAGCCATGGTGTCAAGCTGTTATATATACAGGCCTACAGTAGCATCAGCCATGGTGTCAAGCTATTATGTATACAGGCCTACAGTAGCATCAGCCATGGTGTCAAGCTGTTATATCTACAGGCCTACGGTAGCATCAGCCATGGTGTCAAGCTGTTATATATACTGGCCTACAGTAGCATCAGCCATGGTGTCAAGCTGTTATGTATACAGGCTTACAGTAGCATCAGCCATGGTGTCAAGCTGTTATATACACAAGCCAAGAGTAGCATCAGCCATGGTGTCAAGCTGTTATATATACACACCTATAGTAGCATCAGCCATGGTGTCAAGCTGTTATATATACAGACCTATAGTAGCATCAGCCATGGTGTCAAGCTGTTATATATACAGGCCTATAGTAGCATCAGCCATGGTGTCAAGCTGTTATATATACAGGCCTACAATAGCATCAGCCATGGTGTCAAGCTGTTATATCTACAGGCCTACAGTAGCATCAGCCATGGTGTCAAGCTGTTATATATACAGGCCTACAGAAGCATCAGCCATGGT